AGGATTAAAAGAAAAAAGAGTCTTTTTTAATAATAAACAGACCGCATACCCGATATTCCAATACAATAAATTGTTTTTTACGTTTCGGTCAATAATCTTACCAGTTTTTGCTATATATATATATATATATATATATATATATATATATATATATATATATATATATATATATATCCCAGGAAAGAGATCTTAAATATAGTGTTTTTACATATACCGCTAAAAAGACAGTCTACTAATTAAAAAAATTTCTTTAAAGATAAGACTTCTGATCTTGGGATAAGATCTGAGATAAGAAGATCTTGGTTAAAGAACTTCAGAATCTGGTTTAATACAACATCTGTGCAGCTTTTTCGCGCTGCTGTAGATAAAAGGAAGATTGCCGTGATGATCGCCAACATTTCTAACGGATTAGTACATCAAGATGAAGACCCAAGAATAGGATTTTGAACGCCATGGCGGTAGCTATAATCCCTACGGATTTTAAAACTTATTGAATAAATGTATGAATGAATGAATAAATGAATACTTATAATACCATTGAACTCGGCATCTCTCCATATCTCACCATTTCTCTCGTACAGTTTTTTTAGGTCTTATCTTAAATTAGTTAATATCAAAATAGAAATACTTTTACAGAAACAACACAATTTACTTTTTGCCACCTAAAAAGGATTGATGAATTACCTAATGTTTTCTCTCTCACCAAGCTCTCCATATCTCACCATTTCTCTCGTACAATTTTTTTAGGTCTTATATCAGTTAATATCAAAATAGAAATACTTTTAGGGGAGAAGGGGGTTACTGTGGACCATTTTTACTTATTAGCAAATTAAAAAATATGTATAAGATTCTTATTGCTGAACTTACCTCACATATTTACTGTAAACATCAACTCAACTTTCGATGTGAATATTTTATTTGTATCTTTCTTAATAGAACAAATATTTTGATTCAAATCGGAATCAATAATTTGTCCACAATGACCCCGTGGTGGGGTTAAAGTGGACAGAGTATGGGGTTATAGTGGACGCATAGTAAAACATATACAGGAATACTGAAAACTTTATGTTAACAAAAAGAAACTACGATACATTATAAGAACTGAAATTAATATTAAATTAAAATAATCTTCCTTGCCTTTTCGTGCCAGTGTCTACTGGGTGCTCCAAAATTCCGACAATATCGTTCTTGTCGACAACTGAGACATCTTCAACTTCGGGAAATACGAAATTATTCACTTTTTTCCTTAAAAAATTAATTTGTACCTCCACATCTCGAATATCTACGATTTGGCCAACATAGTGTGTTACCGATTTTTTACCCATAAATTTTACAAGTACGAAATCATTTTTCTCCATTTGTTTGTCCATAAAAATATCGTTGTCCTGACCATCATCTTCCATCCAGCCTTCATCCTCTGATTCAAGTATTACTTCTGTAGAAGAATTGGAAGAGGAAGATTCTTTCCTACTCCTTTTTGGTTCATAGGAAAGAGATTTCTTCACTCTATTCTTTTCTCGCATTTCAGCTCTTTCTTGCGCACGTCTTTCCTTCAAATCTTTAGCCTCTTTTTCAGCTTCCAACTGATCTTTCACTGGTGTGCTCGTGTAAATAGTCGACTTTTTATTTTTTCTTGCTTTGGAGTTTGATGAGCGATCTGCTTTTAGAAAAGGGCGGCAGCTCTCAGGAGTAATTACAGCTGTTGATGTAGTTGCTACTGATGGTGAAAGCGTAATGGGAGCTACAGGTAGCAGTCTTGTGGAGATTGAAGCAACTTCTAATATTCGCTCAGGATCTTCAGGATTTCTTGGGTTCATTGCTGTTGGTGGTTCTTGATTCCTATCTGTTGTTTCGGCAGCTTCATAATCCTCATCGGTGAATACAAGACGATTTATTGGCCATAAACCAGCAGATCTGAATCCAGATGTTATATTCTTCATTGTAAATGCCACAGGAAAAGCAATACCACACAGTTGAGCAACATCATATATTTGTATAGGTCTGCCTGGATGATTTTGAAGCCAGTCTCCCATTGCAACCCGTAATGCAGCTTTATAAGGACCATATACTGCAACATCTAGCGGCTGTAGTTTGTGGCTACAATGTGGCGGAAACGATAAAAGAGTAATTCCAGATTCTCTAGCTAAGTTTATAGCTTCCAAACTTATATGACTTGAATGATTATCCATTAATATCAGTAGAGGGTTTTCTTTAGAAGCACTTAAGTGCATTTTTATGTGCTTTAGTACTTCTAAAAATAATTCAGCAGTCATATAGCCAGACTGATGAGCCAGACCAATGCTCCCTATTGGTGCACCATCTAAGAACCGGTCTTTCATATTCTTCCTGGGGAATATGAAAACTGGAGGTATTGCTTGTCCAGTGGCTGTTATAATTCCGCACATTGTAACATTTTCACCGCGTTCTTGAGAGGCCACAGCTCCTATTTGTTTTTTTCCCTTTTCAGCTATACGTTTGGGTGGTGGTAAGACCGTGGGTATACCTGTCTCATCTAAATTTATTATCCTTTCTGGCCTTCCTTTAAATTTATCTAAAACTCCAATGTAATTATCAAAAAATAAATCCACGTTGGATTTGTTAAAGGCTGCATCTCGTGCTATGCTTGTATTTTCAGGTTTTCTAAGAGATAAATCACCATGTCGTTTCATAAATGAATATATCCAGTCCTTTCCTGCTATCTTATTTTTAGTCCAATTCGAAGGAATTTCTATTTGTAGAGCACTACCATACTCAAAAGCTAGGGTACAAGCCTGCTTGTAAGTCAAGCCATAATGTAATCGAGACGCCTTCTTAAGATAATTGACAATGTGTTGTTCTTGTTCATCAGAAAATATTTGGCGACCTCGAAATTTATTGACGCCAGAAACATTCAAGCTAACAATTTCTAACTCATCTTCGTTACCTGAATCATCACCAGAGGGTATATTAGCATCTTGAAGGTTCCTCTTAGCCGAAATGACTCTTTTGTGAAGCATACTTTTTTTCAATTCATATTTCTCTGCAATATTTCTCAAGCTTCCTTTTTTTCTTAGGATATCCTTTATTGCACGCTCTACAACTTTTTCATCAATATCAGCTCTCGCCGTTTTTCTACTGTAAGTCCTCATCTGAAACAAAAAAGCGATTTTTATCACATGATTTTTGGAAATATAATCATTTGTGGGGTTAGTGTGGACAGCTGATGATTTGTCCACACTAACCCCGAACGCCATGTTTGACAGTAACAATGGAATGACGTTTCGAAAAATGATAATTTTATCTCATTCCATATCAAATGTAGTAATTAAATATTCCAGAAGCCATACACTAACTTAGGTATACAATTAGTTCAATAACTTCAATTTTAGTATAATTTTACTTACCGTGTGAAATAAATGGATACAACACACAAAATCACTTTCTGTCACTGGCGGCCATATTATAGAAAATATTTCAACCAACTTTTACGTGGTGTTCGGTGGCGTTAATAGTCACTTCCTGAACAGACTGGGCGGCAGATTTAAATGCGAGTTTTTAAATAATTAACTATGTCCACACTAACCCCATGTCCACACTAACTCCCCTCTCCCCTACAGAAACAACACAATTTACTTTTTGCCACCTAAAAAGGATTGATGAATCAACTAATGTTTTGGTGAATAAAATATTCTTATCTAATCGAAAGTCTATCAGACAACTACCTCGTGCATCTGGTCTATGAGCATCTAGTGTTTATTGAATTATAAAATACTATAAATTTTATCCTTATAAAATACGATCATCGACGTCAAATTTGTGAAGAATTTAGTGAAATCCTAAAAATAACCAACATCGATTGTACGTGTTTTTCCGACGAGTGTACTTTTATGTTAAATGGTGAAGACAATAGACATAATTGTCGTTATTTGAGTAACAGTAATCCTCATCTATTCATTGAGACACATACACAAACACCTCAGAAACTAAATGTATGGGTTGGAATTTTAGGGAATCACGTTATTGAACTATTAGTTTTTTTTAGACAATCTCAACGGAACAACTTATTTAAATTTGTTAGAAGACGTTATTGATCCGCTGCTCACTGACACATTGGAACCTGATGATGTCAACATTTCAATTTTTGAATCAACAACGTTTTTCAGGGCTTTGGATTGGCAGAAGGGGTCCAATAGAGTAGTCGGCCAGATAACCGGATCTTTTGCCTTTCACCTAATATCAAAAATATATACCACTCCGACTGTAGTGTCGAGATCCGACAAAGGATTTTGACAGAATGCCGATTATTCAGACCGGAGGTATTTGCAAATGTACGAAGGGGCTTTGAAAATATACTGTATTATTGTATGGAGGTCACATAAGGTCATTTCTAACATTAAATTGGTTAATTTGATAAAATTTTATGTTTTTTGTTAATACTTATGTTCAACCAATAAATTAGTAAAAAGTATCTTCAGTTATTTCGTAAATTATTTAATTTTGACAAACTCTTGGTTTCTGAGTTTCTGGGACGGCCAAATTTTCGTTGAAACACACTGTATATTATTATTAAATTTATGATAGGTATTTACTAATTCTTAAGCTAAGATGTTTTATACTAATTTTCGTTAAAAAGGTTTGTTAAAATTTATATGCTTATGTTTATGATTTTTTTATATAATAAATAAATAATAAAATATTTTCATAAAATCTTTAAGGTTTTTCTGCGTTTCTTTTGCTTTTAAATCCGATCCGAACTCTAATTATCACAATATTGTGCATTCGTCTTTGATAATGTCACGTACTGCCGACGCACACTGTTGCCAAAGATTCGCAGAACTTTTGAAAGACGGGTGCGGCCACCATTTCTAGAATTAATATTGATGACGCGCTGATGTAGCCTCTTAAGTTAAATCATAAAAAGGCATATGCATCAAATCTTATCTAATCTAATCATACATTTTTTAAACTGATTTTCTATATAATTTAACGCAAGATCATTTGTCTGACAATTAATTTTAAGTTTTCAATTTTGCAACACGTATATTAGGTATATTATTTATATATTCATTTCTATATTTATTTATTTGATATTATTTATACACATCTAAAAGAAAATGGAACATAAATTAAACTAAATTAAATAATTCCTATTTTGAATATTATTGATGACTAAATTTAGTTTGAAAAGTGTATAGAACAGGTGAGTAAAATATTTGTTTATCATTTGTTTAAGGATTTGTTTACTTTGTTATTTGCGGTTGAAAATACTTTCATCAATTTCATTTACATTTTTTTTTCTTCATACGTAGGTTAGGTTAGGTTAGGTTAAGTTAGGTTATGTAAATATACATAAGAATGAAAGAGAAAGAACGATAGTAGAGTCGCAGAGAGAATGGGCAAATGATAGTGAAAAAGCAAGGTCGACGAAGGAGCTTATTCCCGATCTGAGACCGTGGTGGGAATGTAAGATCATGAAATTAGACTACTTAGTGACGCAGTTTCTGACCGGACATGGTAGTTTTGGTACCTTCACAAATAGAATAGGCAAATCTGCCTCGGCAGACTGTACTGTTTGTGTGGTACTGGATACTCCCGCCCACATTTTAAACTGCCAGAGATGGGCAAATGAGATGGCAGATTTCGAGAGGCGAATAGGTTTCGGGCTGGATGAAAGAAATATTGTAAACATAATGTTGAGAGGAGAGAACGAATGGAGAGAAGTACACTGTCTGATTTCTGGGGTGATAAAGAAATACGAACAGGAGGACAGCCAGGGATCTAAAAATTTATAGTTAATATTGTTTATTAGTTTATGGTCTAACGTCTAAACAGTTTCTGATTAACGGTAATAGGTATGGTTATATATAAATTTTTAGTTGTTTATTGAGTGGCAACACCACCTCTCTGGAACGGTATCGAAAGATACCAGGGTGTCTTGTTCCGTGACGTAGAGGTCCAAAAATGATTCCCCCACCCTTGCCTGTCAGAATCCAATGGATACTTTCTTAGACTCTTACTGGAATCTGGCAATACGGCAATAAAAAAAAGGTTAAGTTAGGTTAAATGTGCATCAGCTAAATAAAATCAGTCAATTTATTATCGAATGTCTCTGTTTTAAGAAACATTTCATTTATTTTCAGGATTCACGGCCCGGAAGTAATTAATCCGGGATATTATTAATAATTTTTATTTTTTTCTTCTTTAGCCGTATATATCTTTACTATCTTTTTAATCTAGGCCTATCTCATTACTTTCCAGTTTAGTTTTTCTACCTTCAAAAGCAGATTACAAGAACCTACGTATTAATTATTAAATCGTTCTGTAGCATCAACTGGTTCCCTAAAATTTGTTTGTTGTTTGGTGATTTTTTTGTCTGAACTTAAATTTCATCATACCTTTAGAAATTCTTTCTAAAATGTGTATGTGTAAACATAGTGACAAAAAGAGCTCTAAATAGTAAATTCATCGAGCAAAAAGACAAAAGAGGGAATGTAAAGGTAGTGGGGTCAAAAATATTGTTGTGACAAGAAGTGCAATCTTGAGAGGCCACATTAAACAAGGAAAGAGAGTCTCTCTCCTTGTTTAATAAATCAAATTTAGTTGGGTTATGTTATTATTTGTCCCAACTGTCACATGAAATCTTATTTATAATGCAGTTTTTTAACAATTGTTTCACATTTTAGAATGTTATCGTTAATATTTAGTTAAAACTTTCTCGTCTAAGACACATTCTGAAAACTATTTTATAGCTACTGTTAATAAGTGTCGGAAAATTTAAATTTGGCGCATTCGCATTTCCGGATATGTCCGCCATCAGAGGCCACTTTTTTGGTCTCCTTTTCATAACTATTAGATTCCCTCTTTTGTCTTTTTGCTCGATGAGTAAAATGCAGGTCGCAAGACTAAAAGGAAGAGTATACAAGGGTGAGAGGATGAAATGGCAGAGGACGCGCAACATTTGCTAAACGTGAGAACCTGGAGAAGATCGGCGGGGTGACCGGCAAAGTTGGAGGCATAATTTGAATTAGGCCAAGGCTCGATTTGGGCTGTAGTGCCATTGGAGAGAGATATAGTTTTATTTTCTGCTTAAGTAGTAATTCTGTCATTTTCCTCATTGAGACTATCTTGTGGACGTCTGGGCTTCTTATTATTGAGTATTTTATCTGATTGTTCTTTTTTTTCTATTTCCTTTATTTATAGTTATTTATAGTTAATTTTTACTAAAAAATACTTTGTGAAAGGTATATTGATTCAAACCCTTAGACATCTGGTAAGTCACTAAATATATGGGTGAAAACCCTTCTTCTTCTTTCTTCTTCCTTCTTGTATGTAGGCTTTAAAGCTTGTTTCTTTTTCAATATTAGCCTTCTAAATTGTTTAAATTATCGCACCATCTTTTTCATGGTCTGTCAATACTTCTTCGTCCATTTGGTGACTTATCTCGTGCTATTCGTACTATCTCATCTTCTTCCATTCTACTAATGTGTTCGTTCCACTCCTGTTTCCGTTTTGTCATCCATCCATTTATGCCTTCTATATTACATGCTTTTCTTATGTTTTTACTTCTTTTCCTATCCATTTTTTCCTTAACATTCTTTTCCCTAATATTCGTCTGAGTATTTTCATCTTTGTTGTTTCTAGTAGTCGTCTCGCTTTAGATGTGTCAGGTCTTGTCTCCGCCGTATATGTTAATATAGGTCTAATTGCTGCTTTATGGATTCCTGTTTTTGTATCTTGTCTTAGGTGTTTATTCTTCCACATTGTGTCCCGCCGCTTTACTTGCTTTTGGCTATACTGTCGTACTTTTTCTACATCTCCGTAACTAGTTATATCTATTCCCAGATATCTAAACCTTGCTTCCTGCTTTATTATTTTCGTATAAATTTTGATTTGACATCGTAGTGGGTATTTAGATGTTGTCAGACATTTGTTTTTTTCTGCTAATATAGTCATATTCTATTTAATGGCTGTTGTATTGAAGATGTGTGTTAATGTTTAGAGCTTGTCTTCTGTCTCGGTGAATAATGCGGCGTCGTCTGCATAACACAATATTTGGGTTTTTTTATTCCCCATTCTGTAACCATGAACTGTACATACTGCTTGTATTATTTCGTCCATTGTTATATTAAAGAGAAGTAGATTTAACGAGTCACCCTCTCAGACTCCGCTTTGTACTGATATACACTGTATTAGTTTTCAATTTATCTTTGTCTGTATTCGATTATCGAAGTAGATGTTTTCGAAGTTTTGAATAATATTGATTGGATTGGTTTCTTTTATACAGTAGGTGTGAGAGGTCTTCGACTTGGATGCGATCGGAAGCCTTTGCCAGGTCTATAAAACATAGATATGCTGGTTTATTGTACTCTATGGCCTTTTCTGTGATTTGTCTTATTACAAATGCGGCGTGTACGCAGGATCTTCTGGAACTGAGTCCTTGTTGTTCATCTGATAAAGTTGCTAGTTTATTGATTTTGTTGGTTAGAAATTTTGTGGTAATCTTAAATGCGGTGTTCAGTAGATTTATACTTCTGTAATTGTTGGGGTCTTCTTTATCTCCTTTTTTGGACATTGGTATCATTATGCAGTTTTTCCATGCGTCTGGTATCTTACAGTGCAATATTAGTTTTTTATAAGTTTTGTCATCTCAAGGGTTATAATCTCTCCTTCATGTTTCAGTAGCTCGTTGGTTATTCGATCTGGTCCTGGTGACTTTCTATTTTTAAGTGAATTTATAGCTATCTTTACTTCCTAAAAACTGATTTATATTTCGTGTCTTAATTCAAGTACGTATTTGTGTTGATTATATTATTTTTCCGTTCTTTAAACAGTTCCGTCAGGTGTCTTTCCCATTCGTTTACTGGTATGTTATTGTATTTCTTCAAGTCTGTTATTATTGTTCTATAGCTATTTTCCTGTGGCATTGTAAATTAATTACTATTTAACTGGGAATAAGCCACAATTGAAGATAAAAATACGTTTATTGGCGTTTCAATTTCCACTTCGGAAATCGTTCTCAAAATACAAACAGTCTTCTTCTTCTAGTTCCATGACCGTTATCGATCGTTGGATATCATGTTGGCTACCATATTCGCTATCGTGACTTTATTGACAGCAGCTCTAAATAACGATGTAGTTGATTTTCCATACCATTGCCTTAGATTTTTCAGCCATGATGTTCTTCTTCTACCAGGACCAAGATTACCTTGGATCTTTCCCTGAATGATCAGATGTAAAAGATCATATTTTTCAGGGTGTCTCATAATATGACCGAAGTATTCCAGCTTGCGTTTCTTTATTATATTGACCAGTTGTGTTGTTTGGTTCAGCCATCTAAGGACCTCCTCATTTCTAACTCTGTCGACCCAGCTTATTTTCAGTAGTCGTCTGTATACCCACATCTCAAAGGCTGTCAAGCGTTTAAGCATAGCCTCAGTTAGGGTCCACGCTTCTACTCCATACAGCAGGACAGGAAAGATGTAGCAAGATATCATACGAACTCTAAGGTCAATGCTAAGATCATGACTGCAAAGTACGTTTTTCATTTTTACAAAGGCAGCTCGGGCTTGTTCTATTCGGCTTTTAATTTCTGCGGTTGGATCCCAGCTCTCATTGATATTACTGCCGAGATACACGAGTTTCTCTACTCTGTCCAGTGTGGCATCTCCGACTTTTATACCGTTATCATGTATATAATTTTGTTTGCTAACTATTATATATTTAGTTTTCTTAACGTTGAGTTTTAGTCCATACTGATCACAAGTCTGTTTTATTTTGTTCATTAGATTTTGAAGGTCTTCTCCGCAATTGGCAAGGACTAAGGTATCGTCGGCATATCTAATATTGTTGACGGTTACTCCATTCACAATAATACCTTCGGTTGTCTCCATTAAGGCTTCCTTAAATATTTCCTCCGAATATAAGTTAAAAAGTAAAGGCGACAATATACAGCCTTGTCTCACTCCTCTTTTTATATTTATTTCATCCGACAGTTCTTGTTCAACCTTTATTCTTGCCACTTGATGCCAGTATAGATTTGTAATTATTCGTAGATCTTTATCGTCCAATCCAGCTGTTTCCAATATTTCTAGCATTTTGTTATGTCGGACTTTGTCAAAAGCTTTTTCAAAATCGATTGCACAAATATACACATTTTGATTTATATCTCTGCATCTCTGTACTAGCACCTGTATACTAAACAAGGCTTCTCTTGTACCCAAGCCACTCCTAAACCCAAATTGAGTATTGCTAATTCTGTCCTCTAACAGCGTATAAATTCTGCTGTGTATTACTCGCAGAAAGATTTTCAAAACGTGACTCATCAGAGTTATTGTCCGATAATCACCGCATGTCTTTGGACGATGTTTCTTAGGTATTGTGACAAATGTCGACTTTAACCAATCAGTTGGTAATATCCCAGTGTCATAAATTCTGTTAAAGAGATTACACAGAGCTTTAATTCCATTTTCTCCCAAAAAACTTTAGTATTTCAGCACTTACTTCATCGGGGCCAAGTGCTTTTCCATTTTTTGCCGTTTGTATTGAACGTCTTACCTCACTTTCTGTTATAGATGGACCTGATATAGCAATCGGTGTATAGTGTTCTACTCTCTCATCTTCAAATAATTCAGAAATGTAGTTTTCCCATTCTTTTAACTTTTCATTGATGTCTAATATTCTGTGTCCGTTTCTGTCTTCTAAACTTTGGGATACTTGTTTCCATTTGTTTCCAGCGACCTCTTTCAATTTCTTGTGCAGATGAAATGTATCGTGTTTCTTTTCATATTGTTGAATTTCATTACATTCTTTACTATGAAATTGTGTTTTCGCGTGTCTTATCTTCTGCCTGATTATTGCGTGGATCCTCTTGTATTCGTTTTTATCTTTATTTCTGACTTCTCTTCTTTGATCCATAAGTCTCAGTATTTCTTCTGTCATCCACCCTTGTTTTTTTCTTGCTTTTAGCGCACTCAATTTTGTTTCTTGAACAGTCTTTAAGATGTCTTTAATTCTCGTCCAGTTTTCCTCAGTACTTTCTTCTTTGCTTGATGTTAACTTCATCTTTTGTTCTAATATACTAGTTATTTCTTGTTTTACAGTATCATTTAGCATCGTTTCTCTATCAATAGTAACTGTTTGCTTATTCGTCCTTGCAACTCTTTTTAATCTCAGTCTTATTTTTCCTACTAAAATATTGTGATCGGTTGGTACATCTGCTCCTGGATATGTTTTTACTGATAATACTGAATTTCTGTATCTCTTATTTATACATATGAAGTCTATTTGGTTACGAATAACTCGTTCAGGTGTATCTGCTGGTGATTTCCAGGTGTAAAGACGACGTTTTGGAAGTTTGAAAATTGTGTTCATTATTACTAACTGCTTTTCTACGCAAAAAGATGCCAACATATCTCCTCTTTCATTTCGTATTCCCAGACCATATTTCCCTATGACATCTTCCTGTTCACCTTCACCAATCTTTGCATTAAAATCTCCCATCATAATATTGAGATCGTGTTTCTTTGTAGGTGCTAATACTTTTTCTAAATCATGATAGAATTTTTCAATTTCTTCTTGTTCATAGTCTTGTGTGGGTGCATATACTTGTAATATGTTCACATTGATTATTGTTGATTGTATTTGTATCATCAGTATCCTGTCTGAGAATAGGACGACGTTTTTTACAGCTTCATCTGTTTCCTTCGACACAATTATTGCTACACCATTTTTGTGTTTTGAGCTGTCTTCTCCTGAATAGTATACAATGTGGTCATCTACAGTTACTTTTGCAGACCCCGGCCATCTCATTTCACTTATTCCAAGTATACTTATATTTAGACGCTTCATTTCTTTAATGGTGTTATGAATTTTTCCTGGTTCGTACATGCTTCTTACATTAAGGAGCGCCCTACTCGGGGCCGTTGTATTTATCAGCCATTTCCATGATTGTTTCTTGGGAAAATTAGGCTCTAGGTGGTTTCCCGTTGCCTTCCTAGAGTGTGTAATAGAAGGAAATATAGTGACCCGTCTGCCCTCGGAAACCTAATAGCCATTCGGGGTCGGAAGAAACAAGAGTTAGCCAAGAGGGGCCTATAGGAAAGATTAAAGACATTTCACTCAAGACAAGTTGAAAAAGAGTGAAATGTGAAGGCCCTTATGATGCGTCAGGTGCGTTTCATAAGCGTATGAGTATTAATACACTTTGTGTTCCCGCTCATACCTCGGGGTATTGACTACAGACTGTATGGCTCGTCCAGCATGCCATAGCATGGAGGGAAGGGCGCATGACATTTTTTACAATGTAGGCACCTCAACTCCACGGTCTGACAGGTACAAACAGTAAATTAAACAGTAAATTAAGTTAAAAATACAAACAGTAAATTAAACAAATTTTGTTTTTTGTTACATAGTGAAAAATTCTTCTAATAATTTAATTTTATCTGACTCATTTATATTGACAATTCAGACATACATTATGCAATTTAAAGTAGACGACTTTAAAATGATATTGCCAATATTGTTGAGTTGCGCTCCTGGGACGACTTTACTTATAAGATAGTTCATTCGATTACATGAAATCAACTTTAACTTGAGAATATCCGTCAGAAAAAAACATAGCATGTAATTCGTCTTTAAAAAGACAAACACATGACATGCATGACAGTAAAATTCTCCTGTTAGTGATTCCATAGTAAATTATGAGGAAAAAACCAGGAAAAAAATCTCACAATACTAACCCGACATTGTAAGTATTTGTTCGTGAATTTAGTTTACCTTCAACAAACATCAAAATTCTGATTTTATATGTTACGTTATTTAAAAAACATAAATGATGTATCCTCTATATGTTTAGTGACTTACTAATACTGGTATTTTCTTATTAATAACTTCCTCTTTCAATATTGGTAACCAGATCCTACTACATTCTGCCGAGGAATTTGCGACACAATGGGCCTCATTTAGCATAATTAGAGCCGCTTCTTTGATTTTTCTTTTTTTACCATCCGTTTCTTTTAGTCAATTCACATGTAGTATTAATACATCACATTAAATGGTGTACGCCTACATAGACATGCACATGCACAATTAATACCTTAAGAAGAAGGCCGCATAATTGCAGGTGTAGTTCAAATTAAGTCTTCGATCGACTTTGTGCAGGCTATATACTTTTTGCTTTATTCAAAATACTTGCTTAATAATTTTCAGATTTAATTTAGAACTATATAGTACACATGTAAAGGGTATATCTAAAAAGTTTAGAGTTACGTCAGTCATGTTCCACCACATATAACTATGATTATCTTATATAAATAAATTGATTTACAAAATACAATATCGACAAAACAATAAATAAATACCTTTGTTTTAGATTAACATTAGATGGTACAATCGCAGGAAACCCTCTGATTTATGTAATAGAATATCCCCTTAAAAGTAACTAAGGTTTAATATGAGCCATAACAGAAACTTATTGTCTAAATACACCAACCAGTAAGTATATCCGGTTAAATCAAGCATATTTTTTATTCTAATATAGATGTTTTGGGTATATATATATATATATATAATATATATATATAATATATATATATTATATAATATATAATATATATATATATATAGTAAACTCTTAAATATTGGGGAAATCTGCAAAAAAACTCTAATGTGTATCAATTATTTCACCTAACGTTTTCGCCAAAGAGAATTTGGCTTCTTCAGGGATGAAAGAGAATAAATTATAATTAGCTACCATATATTATCTAATAAAAAACATTTACCTTACCGTGAAATTTTAGAAATGTCAAGTTATGATGTTAAAAAACTTTAGCTAGTAACAACATAGTGGTGTTTTTTTTGTTACTATGTGCAAAAAAGTTTATTTGTGAACGTTGGAAATGTATGGTAGCTTTGAACTTAAAACGCAAAGGTTTACCCAAGGACAATCGAAAAACCCAATGCGACTACATTTAAAGGAAGTAATTCTTTGAATTGTCGGCAATAACTAAATTTTTAATTGTTGTAAAGTTTGAATGTGAGCTTCTGTTTTCATAGAACGCAAGCGCCGAAACAATTACAAGTAGTTCTTTTGATATGAATGTCGTTAAGGTTCATTGGTAAAACCGATGAAGTTAGATCTCCGTCTGGGGAGATATTAGTTTAGAATTTCTAATTGAAATTCTTTTATTTTTAATTAGTAAATTGTTCATGTATTATTGTAATATTATCTTATTGAGATGTATCTAAGAAAAGCAAGGGAATGTTATCTTTTTTTTGTTAATGAAAATTATTATTAAAGTAGGTTAGTTGTTAATAGATATATCAGTCAAGTTGGTTATCTGTGATGTTGTATTGTTCTTGGTATCTGATTTAAGTAAGAAGTGGTATATATCGCTTAGATTCTTAATGTCACTCTTAACATTGATGGAAAAATCGTTAAGGAAAATATAAGACATTTCAATGAACTCTCTTTTAGATTTATTGCTCTCACGGTGGAGAATTGTAGTGTTCGTATAGTCCATGTGATGACCAGTGGAATGGACATGTTTGGCTAATGCACAGCGGTCTGGGTGAAGTCGAGAATCACTTTTGTGTAGTGTAATACGTGATTTCAATAATTGAGATGTTTGGCCGATGTAGGAATTGTTGCAAGAGAGACATGGAATGTTGTAGACAATATTACTAAGCCTATCTATGGGAGTCTTATCTTTTATCTTCGAATAAAGATTATTAATTGTTAGGGCTGATCTACAAGCCACGTTAAGTTTAATGTTATTATTATTATTAGAAAAGCTATTTTCAAAACTTTTTAGAATCCTTGTTAACCCCGGAGTGATATCTCTGAAATAGGGTAATGAAAAATATTTATTGATAGGAGTATCCGAGACTGGGTTCCTACTTAAGACATCAGGATCAGCATTGTTAGTCACGATGGAAGGTGAAGTATCTTCGTTATGGATAGTGTTAAACAAAATCTTATTTACTAATGGTGTTGGATAAGAATTTGAAATAAAAAGTTTCAGAAGGATTTGTAGGTTTTTTGTATGAAATGATGGATCTGATAGTTTAATTACTCTATTTTTCATCTGTTTGATTAAGTTGACTTTGGTAGAGTTATTATGGTAAGAGTGGTAGTTAAGGTATCTACCAGAATGTGTCGGTTTTTGATACCAATCTATTTTAATGTTGTTGTATTTCCCTAATCATCCTTATGTCGAGAAAGGGGACGGAACAATTACCATCTTCCCTCTCTATAGTGAACTGGATGTAGGGGTCATAACTATTAAAGGTGTCTAATAGTTCATCTACCTTGTCATTGGGTATAGCCAAAATTATATCATCAACATATTTTTTAATAAATGGAATTTGAAAGGATAGTAAAGGAATGACTGAGTCTAACACATAATCCATAACGTAAGTTGCAATGATAGGAGAAATCTTTGCTCCCATAGGGTACCGAAAGTTTGTTGATAGAATTTACCATTAAAAGAGAAGTAAGTGTTATTAAAGAGAAATTCGACGATACTGATGAATCTGTCATAAGACATGGAACAACAACCCTAATATAGATTATTATCATCAACATATTTTTTAATAAATGGAATTTGAAAGGATAGTAAAGGAATGACTGAGTCTAACACATAATCCATAACGTAAGTTGCAATGATAGGAGAAATCTTTGCTCCCATAGGGGTACCGAAAGTTTGTTGATAGAATTTACCATTAAAAGAGAAGTAAGTGTTATTAAAGAGAAATTCGACGATACTGATGAATCTGTCATAAGACATGGAACAACAACCTCTAATATAGTATATATCAACCTCTCTAGTATATATATATATACATTTTGGCCTTAGTTTTATTTCTTATCAAGTTATGGATGTGTTACTATAATATTACATACAAAAACTTTTGTATTTACTTTTCTAGACCCCAGTATAATGCTGCTAGCATGCCTTTCTTTTTTAGATCACTTTATTCATTCTTATAATCACTACCACATACGAACTTTAGAATAATATACATACACAACCTAATTTCTGTACGTGCATAAGAATATTATGGTGCGGAGATAGAAGGGAAATCTAACAGATTCTCATGGAAATATGGTCTTTTACAAACAGAGGAAATTAAGAAGTGATAACACCTTTGGGCTCGAATAGGAGGTAAATAATAAGCCCAGAATATTGCAGCAGCAAGTTTTAGTCTGCAATTACAAAGCTAATAGATAGTAAAGTAACAGGTCCTGACAATAATGGACAACGTATCAATAACAATAATCACTAAGATACGTATCAATGTATAAAACTCTGGAGTAATATCAAGAGAATGGCTAAAAGATTGAATGACAGATTCTGTTGCATTTTAAATAAAACCATAGGCCATGAAAAGCCAATTATACTATACGATGGACCTAATGAGTTATCTTCTAAAACTATTCCTAATGGTAATCCTTAATAGAATTAACAAGCTGGGTAAAAGTTAAATTTCCCCCAAGCAGTTTAGGTTCATAAATGTTCGTTGTACTAGAGAGGCTCTATTCTTAATACAAGTCTTACTTAAAAGATACAGAGACGTCAATTGCGACGTATACGCATGTCTGGTTGATTACGAGAAAGCGTTTGATCGAGTATAGCACGCCAAGTTAAACATCGTCAAATATACTATTGTTCTGAAGCTATTTTCTTGTGGCATTGTAAATTAATTACTATTAAACTGGGAATAAGCCACAATTAAAGATAAAATACGTTTATTGACGTTTCAATTTCCACTTCGGAAATCGTTCTCAAAATACAAACAGTAAATTAAACAAATTTTGTATTTTGTTACGTAGTGAAAAATTCTTCTAATAATTGAATTTTATCTGACTCATTTATATTGACAATTCAGACATACATTATTCATTTAAAGTAGACGACTTTAAAATGATATTGCCAATATTGTTGAGTTGCGCTCCTGGGACGACTTTACTTATAAGATAGTTCATTCGATTACATGAAATCAACTTTAACTTGAGAATATCCGTCAGAAAAAAATCATAGCATGTAATTCGTCTTTAAAAAGACAAACACATAACATGATGACAGTAAAAATTCTCCTGTTAGTGATTCCATAGTAAATTATGAGGGAAAAACCAGGAAAAAAACCTCATAATACTATTCCGACATTGTAAGTATTTGTTCGTGAATTTAGTTTTACCTTCAACAAACATCAAAATTGACTATATATGTTACTGACTTACTAATACTGGTATTTTCTTATTAATAACTTCCTCTTTCAATATTGGTAAACCAGATCCTACTACATTCTGCCGAGGAATTTGCGACACAATTGGCCTCATTTAGTATAATTAGAGCCGCTTCTTTGATTTTTCTTTTTTTTACCATCCGTTTCTTTTAGGACTACAATTTGAATTATTCCATTGAACCCTATGTTCATTATCCCATGCGTGTTTACAGATTTTGAGATCTCTCAAATTCTCTATTTTTAATATAAGATTGATGTTTCACTTATTCTAACATTTAATGGCCTTGATGATTCACCTAAATAAAACTGATCGCATTCACAAGGTATTTTATAAATGCAATTCTTTGTCCTTCTCTTGTTCATTGTTAGGTTTGGTTTTGGACAAAATAGATCTCAACGTGTTTGTTGTTTTGAATGTTGTTGAAATGTTGAATTTATTTCCTATCTTTTTAAGTTTTTCTGATAATCCTTTTATGTACGGTATTGTTATTTTCCTCAAATTATTCCTTGTGTATGCTGTAGGATCTCGTTGTAAGTTGTTCTGTTCTATTCGATTGTTTGTTGAAAATTTGTTATTTATAAACGATAAAGGATAATCATTTTTTAATAAAACAGATGTTAACAAATGTTTCTCCTCCAAGAACGAATTTTCGTTAGAACAAGTAATTTTGGCTCTATCGTATAAGGATTTAATTATTTCCTTTTTTACATTAATATTGTGATTTGATTTGAAATTTAAATATCTATTGGTGTGTGTTGGTTTTCTATACACCTGAGTCTCATATCCAGTATCGTTCTTAGAGATTAAAACATCCAGGAAAGGTAGCGTGTTATTATATTCCTTTTCCATGGTAAATGTTATTGTCTCTTCTTTATCGTTTATATCATTTAGGAATGTGTCCAACAACTCTGATCCATGAGGCCATATTGAGAATACGTCATCTACATACCTCCACCATACTGTGGGTTTGAAATTTTCGTTTAGAAATAATATTTGTTTCAAAATCTTCCATAAATATATCGGCTAAGAATGGAGATAAACTAGAGCCCATTGCTAGACCAAAATTTTGTTTATAGAATTCATTATTTAGTTGAAAATATGTATTATCAGTACATAATGTTAAATAACTCCATTTATAGCCGATATGTTTAGTCTTGTTCTAGTTGCCAATGAATCATCACTCTCTAATTTTGTCTTGACTATACTTAAAGTCTTATTTAATGGCACATTCGTAAATAAACTATTTATGTCAAAACTTACCAAAGTATGATTTGAATTAAATTCAATATTTGATAATTTATTTAAAAAATGTTGTGTATTTTTTATGAATGTGTTATTTTTATTTGTAAATGGTTTTAAAATATTTAATAAAAATTTTGATAGTAGATCTTGATTAATAGATCTTAATTTTTATTTTCGTATTGAATTTTATCCATTATCACAGTTGCATTCCCCTTGTCTGCTGGTAGGATGATTATGGAGTCATTTTTTAAAGTTCTTATAGCCTTTAGTTCCTCTTTGCTTATGTTTTGTTCAATTTTAGTAGATTTTTCCAATTCAGGTTTACATAACACTCTGTATTCTTCCTTTTCGTGGGTTGGTAAGCATTGAGTTATTTTCTCCACTGAGCTTATTATGTCTAATTTTGGAACGGATGGCTGAGTAATAGCAAAGTTTAGACCTTTTGACAGTATTAAATTCTCCGTTGAAACTGTCGCTAATATGTCATCATTTCTATTGAGGTTATCTAAAGTGTGTATACTGTTTTGTTCTAAAAGAAGATTAAATTTATTTAAATGTATATTTCTTTGTTTTCTATATGAATTTTCATATACTATATGTAAACTAAAAATAATTTGATCAAAATCAGAATTTGATATCACATTGAAAAGCAAATCTTCAATACTTACAATATCTTGTTCAACAAAAAATAAATTCGATCTATGATATTGTAATCGTTCTCGGATCATGGACAAACTGGCTCTATGTAGAATGTTTTCCAACCTTCTGCTTGAATATGCTGGACGTAACTTCAAGCCCTTTGGTATTAGGTTGTTATCTCTACATCTTCGTAAAAATTTAATTGAATTCTGACAGTGTGCCAGTTTCTTGTATAGAATTTCCAATCTCCTAAAATTTTGAATAAAGCTGGGCCCATAACGGTTTCTTAATATTGTTCTGAAGCTATTTTCTTGTGGCATTGTAAATTTATTACTATTAAACTGGGAATAAGCCACACTTAAAGATATTGTGGCTTATTCCCAGTTTAATAGTAATTAAGTCAAATATACTGTTGACGCCACTGAATTTTCGAACAACTGAAAAGACCTACAAGTCCTTATGATAAAATCACGTATCACAGTCAACAATATGCACCCAATATAAATGTAAAGACGACAAATTTCTTGATAATTAGCAAGAAAAAGATAACAGAATGTCAACTATGTCAAAAAAATTTCATTAGAAAGAGTGAAACCCTAAAACTATCTCTGAAATAAAGAAAAGACCAATATCAAGCACATAAAAGTGCTTAGAAAAAGCTAAATCCCACCTTCAAGCGGATGACAGTCTTCTTCAAAAGCCACAATCTCCCTCTGGTTATAAAAGTAAGAATGTTGTGATGCTACTTCTTCATTGTTCTGCTTAATGATGTTAATTTGTGAATTTTAAACAAAGATATGTCCAGAAGATTAAAAGCATTAAAGATGAGGATATATCAGAGAATACTGATCCCGTAAACTAACCGAGTCATAAATGAGGAGGTCCTCAGAAAAATGAAAAAGAACCGAGAGGTACCGAACACCAACAAATCTCCAAAGCTATAGTACCTCGAGCACAATATGCAAATATAATTCAAAATTGAAAAAATATTTGGAAGGCGAGTTCCAGGAAAAAGACGAACATTCTGATAAAAAAACGTCAGGGCCTGGTTCAACAAAATATCTGTGCAGCTTAAAGGATTGCCCCACACCGACGCGAAATTATTGACACGCGAATTTTCCGTTGCGGAACACTCGTAGGCGGAGCGGTAGCGGACAAGGCTTCCCCACATTGGCGCGAAACCCGATACGACTATTCGCCATACAAATGTCAACAAATTATCTTTTAGTCGTTTATTCGTAGCTTACAAATACATAATGACTTCGTCTGATGAAGAAACTCTTCTACGATTGGCACTTACCGAAACTTAAAAAACATGTAGCTCCAGAAGCAATAACTTGGTACGGGACACATTCAGTATTGTTAGTATCGACACATATAGGGGAAAGTATTGGTGTTAACTGTGTATTGTTCCCAGAAGAACATCTAGTATTTGAATTTGAAGTGCAAAATCCAGCTGCTTCTTGTTCTTGTTGAAACTACAATTTTTTAAAACTCCAATGAAACTTTTTTTTTTATATTTTTATAATTTTCGTCCCTTAAATCATAAAGTATAGGATATTGCTTCACAATTTCAATTAGTTTTTCTGTAACAGCCATTTTAATTCACACGAAACTATAACTGGAGCGGAAAAAACCGTACATGCAGCGTTTCATGAAAACCACGCTGATCTGCCGCGACCGTCGCGGATTCCGCCACAACTTGTCTGAACACCTGCATAAGTCGCCGTGCGTTACGATTCGCCGCGATTCCGCGTAGGTTGCGACTGCGAAAGTTTTGCGTCGGTTTGGGGAATCCTTAAAGCGAGCGTAGAATACTTAGTAACGGTTCATTAAATGAACATGTATTTTTTCCTTTTATACTTGTATTCTTCTTCTTCAAGTTCCACTCCTATCGGAGATTGGAAATCATTCTGGCTAATTATAATTTTATTGGTTACTCGCCTGAATATTTCAATTGAACTGCATCCAAACCATTCACGGAGATTGCGTAGCCACGAGATTTTACGTCTTTCTACGCTTCTTCTACCTTTGATTTTACCCTGCATTATATTCCTTAGTAGTTCGTACTTTTCACCTCTCATGATGTGCCCCAAGTATTCCAATTTCCTGATTTTTATGGAATTTAAAACTTCGCATTGTTTTCCTAGTTGTTCGAGAACTTGTTCGTTTGTTTTGCGATCCATCCATGATATTTTCAAAATACGTCGGTAACACCACATTTCGAATGCTTCTTCGGTTTTTAATGTTGGATTTTTTAAGTGTCCAAGCTTCAACTCCATACAAAAGGGTAGAGAAAATATAACATCGAAGCATTCTTATCCGGAGCGATATATTGATATCGCGATTACAAAAAAGTTTTCTCATTCTATTAAAAGTTGACCGCGCAATTTCAATGCGGTATCTTATTTCTTTTGTCTGATCAGTATCTTCTGTGATCCATGCTCCAAGGTATTTGTACGAAGATATTTGTTCAATTTCTGTATTATCTAGTACTAGCTTAACTTTGATGTTTTGTGCTTTTGTAAATACCATGAACTTGGTTTTCTTCAAATTGATTTTTAGTCCATAATCGTTGCAATATTTATTTACTTGTTCAGCAAGGTGTTGCAGTTCTTCTAGTGTTCCTGCCAGAAGGACGGTATCGTCAGCATGTCTTATGTTAATCATAAATTGAATAACAAGGGTGATAAAATACACCCTTGGCGGACCCCACGGCGAATCTGGATATCCTTGGTCAGTTCGTTTTCAAGTTTCACTTTTGCTGTTTGATTCCAATAGAGGCTACAGATGATTCTAATGTCTCTACTGTCTATGTTTTTATTTAATAAAATTTCTTTAAGTCGATTATGCTGCACTCTGTCAAAGGCCTTCTCAAAATCAATGAAATAGGCATATACTTCCTGATTAATATCTAAGCATCTCTGCGAAAGAACACTTACTGCAAACAGTGCATGTCGTGTTCCCAGTGCTTTCCTAAATCCCATTTGTGTATTACTTATGCCTTCATCTAATTTCTTATGTATTCTATTGTGAATTACTTTTAAAAACAATTTCAAGACATGACCCATTAAGGCTATGGTGCGATGTTCATTGCACTCCTTTGCATTGGCTTTTTTGGGAAGCAGTATGAATGTTGATTGGAGCCATTCTTTAGGTATTATACCTGTTCTATATATGGTATTGAATAGATCCAAAGAAGATCAATAGATTCAGTATTCACAATTGTAAGTAATTCGATAGGAACTTCATCAGGCCCGGGAGATTTACCACTTTTAGCTTGTTTCAATGCATATTCAGTTTCTTCTCCGTATAATTTCTTCTATTTCTTATACTTGTATGTAGAGTGTTAAGATAGTGACTACCATAGTTGTATTGTGTAGAGTGGCGTAGAATATAGTATTGCAATATTTTTTGATAGTATATAGACAAACCATTATTTGTACTGATAATTATAGTATCTTAGTGTATACTGGAGGCTTTAAATTAACATAAATATTATTAAAACAATATATGATGATAAATTTCGAGGCAGGTAACGTAATATTTATTATTTATTATATTATTTTAGATATATTCGGTACCTTCTTCCAAGACAACAACATCAGAAAGTTCCCACTACCGAACATCTACAAACAGATGGTACATATGAGCAACAATACTATTCAATATGGCCACCACCCTTAGTAATACCGATTATCTCAATTTTACAAATAATATTTTTTATCGTGAATATTATTTGTACCAAATCGATTAGGAGTGGTGTAGTCCCCTGGGAAGAGGCACTAATTTATAGTCCCCAAAAACGGAAAGAAGTCTGGAGATATTTTACTTATAGTCTTGCACATATAGGGTAGGTACAACAATTATTTTTTTAGCATTATATATATATATATATATATATATATATATATATATATATATATATATATATATAATATATATATATAGAAGAAATTACCATAATAATATTATCATTTTTAATTAATAAATTTAAATAGTGATTAAAGAAACAATTATATAAGTCATATAGGTACTAGAGAATATTATAAGAATTATTTATGTGAGGGTATTCTTAAGAAATTAGCATAATAATAGGTTCTATCTCGTCTACTGCAACATTAAGACAATATCATGAGATATTCAACAGTGAATTTAACATCGAGTTTTTTAAACCAAAAAAAGACCAGTGTGTCTTCTGTCATGTTTACCGAAATGCACGCGAAGACGAAAAAGCAGAGATGGATCTGAAGTACACTAACCATATTGCTAATAAGACTGTTGTAAGACAACTTAAGGAAAGAGATAAAGAGATCGCTAAAAATTTAATGGAAACTATAGTTGCTTGTTACGACTTGCAAAAAGTTCTCACCACATCTTAGTCTGAACTGTCAATGTTTTACTATAAACGAAAATTATGCGTTTATAATTTCACAATATTTGACATAGGACGCAATTAGGGATTTGGCTACATGTGGGATGAAACCAAAGGAAGGAAGAGAGCTAACGAAACAAGTAGCAGTGTTTATAATTTCATTACAACTAATGTTTTAAAAGAATATAAAATTTTTATATTTGATAGTAATAATTGCGGAGGCCAAAATAGAAACAGAATAATAAAAATTTTCTATAAACATAACGCACAATTATTTTGAGGTATGTCATTCCCAAAATAAGGGAGATTCCATGCAGGCCTTAATAGAGCGACGTAAAAAGAACCAAAGAGTTTTTATTCCCGAACAAAGGATAAGCTTAGTAAGACGTGCAAAAACAACAGGTAAACCGTATTTGGTAACTGAACTGCACAAAGACAATATATTTCATTTTAAAAAACTTATGACAACATTTCCAAATTGGTATATAAATGAAGAAAATGAAAAAAATTTCTGTAACATGGTGAAACACATAAATATTTCTGAAACAAATCCTGGCGCGGTGAATATTCAATATGATTTCATATCCGAAAAAAAACTAAGTTAAACTTGCTATAGAAACCTATCTCCAGGAAACAAAAAAGGTTAGCAACTTCTAGTAAACGTCTTTCTAAGAATCTACATCTAGCATTTTCATCTTATCTAGGGATAACAAAAGCAAAATATGATAATCTGCAGAGTTTATGTCGAAGCCAGTGCATTCCTGTCACTTACCACAATTATTTTAAAAATCTCCCAGTTGATTGCAAAAACGTTAATCAAGTTTATATTTAGTTTGTAATAAAATTTTACAAGTATATTTAGTTTGTAATAAAATTGCATTTTAAAATCTATCTACTAACGAGCAATAATTTGAAATTCATATTAACTTTTCCTATGAGAACATCATAAGTGCAGTTACAAGATTATTCAATGAAACTTTATGTTTGTATCATAAACTGTAACTACCATAGTTCAAAAACCTACTCTCTAATAAAAAAAGTAGACCTTATTCTAAAAGAGGAGTTCAACAATTCTATAACTACTTACTTCTTACACTAAAAAATTGTCACATAGGTATAAAAAAAAGAAATCAAAGAAATTGGTATCTTTTTTTATCACTTCTGAAGAATATAATAAATGCTGGTTACAACGTTATTCTTTGCAGGGGTCGATATTATTCTTAAAACAATACATTTTATATTTTTCTTTAACAGCACTTTGTTTTTTAGATATACTCACCTAATAGTCAATTTAGTAGTTCAATTTTTGCTTGGTTTACCATTGGAAATAGTCCATAAAAAATGGAGAGTGTTGGTACTATACTTCGCAGGTATACTAGCTGGATCACTTGGATCGACAATCGCTCATCCAAATACTTATCTTTATGGAGCAAGTGCTGGAGTGTACGCTCTCTTATTGGCACATATCGGAACTATTATTATAGTAAGTTTAAATATACATACCTACAAACACACCTACAACACACACATACACACATTTTAAATATATATACAGTGCGTCCATAAATTAACGCATACATACATTATTAGCTAAATAAACAACAGTATTAGAAATTCTCGAAATAGGTCGATTTTTGATTTTAATTTACTATTTTTTCAAATTATAATTTATTATACAGGGTGAACCACCTTAGTATCATGACATCATTACCATTTTTTTAATATAACCCCTATTTTTTTAAGTTATAGATTTCTCTTGCTGAGATGATTGCTTCAAATTAGTACAGGGTCGCAAAAATGCAAAACTTCCAAGTTACCTACAAAATAATAAATAAAGAATAAACGCATTAAACACATTAAATAAAACTTCATATTCTTATACAACTACTTTAAAAAACTATTAAAAACACCTTACATTACTTTGTAACATTTAATAGCTTTGTAAGTGATCTAAGACTCTAAAAAATATTTTCTAACAGCCATTATTAGTAATCCATGCCCCTGAACTAAAAAAATATTTTGTCAGAAATAATAAAGTACAAATCTGTATTGTTTACGCTTTGCAGAAGGTACGTTTATGTCAAAACTATTCAAAATTTTATCATTTGCATCTTGCACCTAGGGCACCTAGATCGTGATTCTATTTCATAATCTACGGTAAGCAGGATAGAGCGACAATACAAAGAATTAGACGATGTGAGGGATGCAGCTAAGCATGGTAGGCCAAAAATTAATGAAAATATTCAACAAGACACAATTTTGGCGATAGTAGAAAATCCACACTGTCCAGTGCAATAATTATCTAGGGATTTTGGTGTTGAAAAGTCTTCAGTATCAAATATTTTTAAAAGAGTTAAAATACCATCCTTATTAAGTACGTCTTATCTATGAATTAGCTGTAGAACACTATGATCGAAGAACTGAATTCTGCGAGTATATGACGAACCAACCTAACAATTTCGTTGATACCGTTTTATTTTTGGAGGAGGCAACGTTTTATTTGAACGATCATGTTAACCGACAAAACACCCGTTGTTGGTTTAATAAGTCCACACTGAATGCAAGTGTTCCATACGCAAAGACCACAAAAAACGAACGTATGGGCTGGTATTGTGAGAAATACAATTGTTGGTCCATATTTCTGATGAAAATTTAACAGGAGCATTATATCTGGATTTTCTACAAAATATATTAATTTCTGATCTGATCCAGCTTTTTTTTGAAATTCAAATACTTACTAATTTAGACCGCAGAATCTGGTTTCAACAAGATGGTGCACCGCCACATTTCGCAGTAACTGTGCGCAGATTTTTAAACAGAACTTTTCCACAACGGTGGATATGAAGAAGAGGACCAGTGAAATAGCCCCCTAGATCACCTGATTTGAACCCATTGGATTTCTTTTTATGGGATTATTTAAAATCTAAAGACCACAAATAGACCTGATTATATCCGTCAACTACAAGATCGAATTAGCCAAAAAATAAAGAACCCAACACCCGCTATGCTACAGAATGTTAAAGACAAAACTAATGACCGTTTCAGTCATTGTCTTACGATCAATGGAAAACAATTTGAACATTTACTGTAAATTTTCCTTGTTTATTATTGTTAATCTATCACAGTAATTGCATAATAGTAAAATAGTTGTATAACAATATTATATTTGTTTTTATTAAATGTTCAAATTTACATTCTGCTATTACAAGCTACTAGCAAATGTGAGTATTGCAAATACATGAGAGAAGAAATTATCCACTGATAACACTCCCAATACTAACACTAACAAATTAAATTAATGTAGGATTATAATTTGAAACTAAAATTGAAATGAAAATTAAAATTAAAATTGAAATTAGTGAATAAAGTCTGTTGGCCACTGTCTCTTCGTCTGACTTCTGGTTGGAGGTGTAGTTCTCTTGCTTCCTCGTTGGGGTGGGCTGGCAGATATTCTAAATAATTTCTTGTTAGTCTGCTGATTTGGTCTTCAACGAACGGTATACCAGACTCGTAGTGACTTAAGTTCCATTACTGAATTTATTTATTACTGTGAAAAGCATGTTTAAGATCACGCTATTTTGATTTATTAGTTATGAAAACATAGCTTTGAATTCGTTAAGGAAACTCTTCATTATCTCTCCAATGTCACTGTTTATACTGTTTATATTACTTGTTATTTACGCTCAAATAACAAGTGTTCCACTTGTTATTTCAGCGTAAGCTGCATGATTTTGGTTGTATGAGTTCGTATTATTATGGACATTATTTACATTTGTTCCACCTGTTGCTTGTGTGTATGTCGCGTGATTTTGATTGTTTAAGTTCGGATTATTCTGTACTATATTTCTGTTATATTAAAACCATATATAAAAATTGGTGGGGGTTTAGAGGTTGCTGGAGTTTCGTTCGTATTTTCTGTACTGTTATTGTTGTCTTTTCGTTTTCATTTTGTAGAATCTGAAATTTATTGCTGGTTACTACCGTGTCTTTGTTTTCTGTTGGTGTCAGAGGATTAATTTTACGTGTTTTGTTACTATGTTGTATAGTTTGCCATTCGTGGAAATCCGATAACTCAATGTCGCTGACGTCCCCTAAAGATTCTTCACTTGTTCTTCACTGTTCTTCACTGAAGACAATGTATGTGTCATCTCAATAGAATCAGAAGCTTCATTTTGAGGTGTAGATAACGTGGGATTTATTTTAGGATTGTATTGACAGATTGAGGAAGATTATGGTAGTACTTGGTTAGGAATTTAATATATTGTTGTTGCTGAGTTGTTTAAAATTTGTGCTGAATTTAGTTGTAAATTTTGTGGAAAAAGGACGTTTGGGCATTCTGTTTGAATTTGCTGTTGTTGATATTGAATATTTATAGGTTGACCATTAACAGTAGCAGTACAAAGAGAAACACTTACCGATAAATCTGCTGGAGCACTAATTTTAATTATTAAAACTGTATATTTTAATTTTTAAATAAAATCCACAAGGAAAATAATTCCTGTAGCTGGCTGTATATCACGTATCACAAAAATGAGGTTAGATCTTTGTAAATGGGTATATTTAAAAAAAAACATACCCATTTACAAAGATATAACCTCTTTTTTTTTTTAAATTTTTAAATAGTTTATAAATAGTATATCCACTTAATATACAATAATCACGGTAAAAACAAGGCCGGAGCCCATTTTTAATCATTACTATAGACTTTCGCCTAATTCGTATCGATGTTTAAAGGTCGAGAGTCAAATGAATACTATATAACAATATAAAGCATTTTTCAAAGAAAACCACTTGCACGTCACGATTTATACAAAGTGACGTCACTTGTATTTAAAATTTCCAGAACATCAACCTTAGAGTGTAAATTTTCCTAACACAGCTAATAATACGAATCTCATACGGAACTGCTCAATCTTTCATAGGCGTCAACATGGTGTAATAATCAGAAAAATGTAATCATCATTATATTGGAAATTTTAGAATTATATTGAATGAATAACCAAAAACATTTGTTATTATTAATAATATAAATTTTATAAAATAACTCTTTAAGTCTAATATTCCACAAACTAATAATTTTAATTAAATATATTAGACAATTATACGCAACTGATACAAAAATACTTCAAATTTTATTGACAGTTAAGCATGTGGCAAAAGTGTATAAAGTGTTGCCGTTTTTTTATAGTAGGAATTTTGTTTATGTTTTGATTTCTTACACAATTTGATCATAATATAATATATATTAATAAATTGTATTTATAAATACATATTAAATTTAGATTAATAGCTTTAAAAACTAATTATTGTTATGTATAGTGATTGTAATATGCCAAAACAAATAAATAGTCTGTAGAAAGCTGATAAGCGTTTATATAAGATAGATTATTTTGAACAAGAAATAATGGCGGGACGTTAATAATAAGTTAAAAATAAACACATTAAATTAAATTACACATATAGCATTTTTCATATAAAAAAGCTTGCGCGTCATTCAAGATTTACGTCGTCAGAACCCACAGTGTTGCCAAAACATCAGAATAGTTAGTAAGTGAGGAATTTTTAAAATGTCAACTATTTGTCAAACTATTATATTAACAGTAAATACAATTAGTTTTAATTCTACTGCAACACATTAAAATACATACAAAATCATTTTTATACAAAATTATATATTCTAAATTTTAAACTTACCTCTTTTAGGGCTTTAATAGTAAAAACGTCCCGCCATTATTTCTTATTCAAAATAATTTATCTTATATGAAAGCTTATCAGCTTTCTAGAGACTATTTATTTGTTTTGGCATAGCACAATCACAATACACAACAATAATTAGTTTTTAAAAGCTATTAATCTAAATTTAATATGTATTTATAAATACAAGTTATTAATATATATTATATTATGATCAAATTGTGTAGGAAATCAAAACATAAACAAAAATCCCTACTCTAAAACAGCGGCAACACTTTATACACTTTTGCCACACACTGAACTGTCAATAAAATTTGAAGTATTTCCGTATCAGTTGCGTACAATTTTCTAATATATTTAATTAAAATTAAGATTTTGTGGAATATTAGACTTAAAGAGTTATTTCATAATATTTTTATTATTAATAATAACAAATGGTTTTGGATATTTAATCAATATAATTCTAAAATTTCGAATATAATGATGATTACATTTTTCTAATTATTACACCATGTTGACGCCTATGAAAGATCGAGCAGTTGCGTATATGTTTCGTATTATATGTGTTAGGAAAATTTGAACTCCAAGGTTGACGTTCTAGAAATTTTAAATATAAGTGCCGTCACTTTATATAAATTGTGACGTGCAAGCATTTTTATATGAAAAATGCTATGTGTTGCTTTATGGATGCACTGTATATTTGTAACACTTAAAATAAAATTTCCGCGGGAGCTATATGTGTTTAAACCATCGTCCATGGTTTAAACGTGATTTTCTGGGTTTGACACCGCGATGAATAATTTTGGAAAACCATTGTTATGGCGACATTCTGTCACGAACGATTACTGCTGGTGGTTGAAGTAAAGTTTTTCAAGTTTTGAAGTGGAACCCTAAAATAACATAATATATTAAAACAAGAAAACGCGTCAATGTTTTGATTTCTAGATATTTTTTTATTTTTACATGCATTTTTTTTTCAGAATTGGCGCGAAATGACATTGCCAGGAATACAATTGGGAGGTTTTTTGTCCATTATCCTGTTAGATATTATATTAACTATAATTGCTAAAGATAACAGCCAGCATGGCGTACCTATAGGATACACAGCTCATATCGCAGGTGCAATCGCTGGACTATTAGTTGGGATATATATTTTGAAAAATTTTGATCCTTCTACGAGAACCAAAATCATATTCTGGACTGCTTTATTATTTTACTTTATATTTATGTGTATTCTCATATATTTTAATATTTTTTTATCGAATACTTTAAAATATTAAGTTAATATATTATTGTTTATTTATATTTATATATTAATATTTAGTTACGATTTAACATGGATGGTCTGAATAAAACTATTTTATTTAACTGATTAGTCGTTCTTCATTTCTTCCCACAATTGCTTAATATTTGCTTCCCTGTGCCATATTGTACCTGCCTGTTTCCTTATGTTATAGTTCCATCTTAAGTTTGGACACATCATCTTGAAGTCTCTTGGATACCACTGGGTAATTCTACTGGACCACATATTGTCAGTTCTTCTCGCTAAATGTCCCGCCCACTGCCATTTTAAAGAAATGGAGGATATAATATCTAAACATGACTTATTTATTGTGCACAAAAAACTAAACGAAATAAGTAATATATTTAAAAAACGAGTTTCCTCTGTACTCGTTGACAATAATAACAAAATTATTTAAAGAGCATAAATAAGAAAAGAATGACAGCTGTATATATCAGAGTTGTTTGAAGATGACGCAAAGCTTCAATTAAACGGAGTCCAAGATGAGAAAGTTCACAAAATGACATATTTGGAAACTGTGATAAAGGACCAACTAGATCCAGACATAGAAATAAAACGTAGAATAGCAATGACTAAAACTACTTTTATGAAAATAAAGTCATTTCTTTGCAATAATCATCTCAGTTTAGAACTAAGACAAAGAATGGTTAAGTGCTATGTTGGGTTCGTACTTTTGTATAGTGCAGAAGTGTGAACGCTACAAGTATCGATCATGAACAAAATTCAAGCATTGGAAATGTGGGTTCTTAGACGAATGCTGAAGATACCTTGGACAGCAAGGAAAACTAATAAAGAAGTACTAAGGAGCGTCAACAAAGATAAAGAACTGCGAAAGACTGTTAAACATCGAAAATATCTTATCTGGGACATGTAGTAAGGGAAAATCGATATAAAATACTACAACTGATTATTAAAGGCAAAATAAAGGGCCGTAGAGGTGTATGAAGGAAACGGGTTTCTTGGTTAAGGAACATTCGTGCATGGACTCGGATATCAGATGCGGGATAATTATTTCGTATCGCAGAAGATCGAGAATTCGCAATGGTAATCGCCAACGTTGGATAATTCTGATATGGCACGCGAAGAAGTAGACTTATGGCGTGTAGTTCTTGACATCGTCTTTGTTACCTTTCATATTAATGAGAATTATGTTTGCTGTATTCCAGTGGTCTGGTATACGCATCCTAGACAATTTGTAAATATACCTGCTAAGATTTTCCAGATTTTATTGCTAGCGTATTTAGGCAGTTTTACTGTTATGTCATCTATACTATAGTAAAATTCATTAAGTGATACAGGGAGATGTAAACATTAAATCGTGTCCGAACCTGTATGAGCTGCCGACAACGTCGGCAGACGAAAATAAAGATGGACATTTCGGTTAGTTTTAAAATATTTTTGAATAATTGTTACTTGCATAAAATATTCATTAATTTTATAAATCGGAATATTTTTTCACTTACTATGTATTTAGTGATAACAATAATTTATTTACTATTCAATAAACACTAATAGTCGAGAATAGAAAAAAAATATTAAAGTGTCATAATTATACTGTTACTTACCGGAACGATTAGACTCATTTGGAACATCTGTAATAATTATCTGTTAAATTTATTGTTGTTTATATGCCCTGCATCGCTTAATGAAATAAACTTTAGCTGCTTTACCGCTTTTCATTTATGCAATTGTCGATTCTACTCCTTTTGAAAGACCTTCTGTTATATCTTCTTGGTTTCTAGTTGATTTTTTAAGTGTTCAGGGGCTTTGTATAGTTTACTGTAGAATAGTCACAAGTTGTATTCTTTTATTTCTCTCTGTAATTCTGTGTTTTCTCTCACAACAAGAAAATACTTTTTTGTTGTCTTATAGTTTTTCTGTTTTCGATTGCATTCTCTATATATTGTTACTTACAATAATTTTCATTCTTTGTTTTAGCATTATTCTAGACTTAACACAGAGTTTTATGTTTATTTTGTTGTTGCTTGCCTCAAATTTCTTCAGCATTATCAATGATGATTTCCCTTAATGATCCCAAAAAACCTCCAACAAGGAGGTTAAGACAGTTAGTGAGAAATTGCAGGAAAGCTTAAGTGCAATTGGTCATCGGCTTCGATACTAATGCTTACCATCTTACTAAAGAAAAAATGTATATTGCAAATAAGATTTGTAATCTAGTCCTTGTATATGGATTAAAGACATGCACAACTCAAAAATTGTTGAGAAATTATCTGCAACAGTAAAAACCTATCATCATATAATTTAAAAATATTGAAGATTTGCGCTAAATGGGTCATAATAAATGACAGCAGGTGAGTACAATATTAAAGAAAATAATATGTCAGAGACCAGTAAAAGAAAGGTGAAGAGGTAGACCCAAATTTTACAAGTAAATTAAGATTGAATTGAACGATTTTAGGATTGCCAAATATAAAAACTCTATCAAGATAGGTTAGACTAAAAATAATAGAACAAGCCAAGACTCATAAACGGTTATTCATTTAATGATATTGTAAACTGATAACTCTGCCTAAGTTGTGTGATGGGTGAATTGAGTAGCTCATCGGATAACACTGCCGGTCCACTGCCCGTACAAAGGCGGAGGGTCCCTAATGTGAGGTTAGCCACCTACCTGGGGTAAAGAATCCATACTGGCCACAGAACTAAAGATACAGTCTCGGATACCGGACAGAACTATCAGATGACGACACGCTCTATGACAATGAAAAAACGAATTGGTAAACGAAAATCCAAACACCCTATCACACGAATCGCGTGCTGGAACTAAGGTCGTAGAACGGAAGAGACCAGCAGATCATAATAGAAATGAATAAACACAATATTGACATCTACGCAATCTCCGAAACAAAGAAAAAGTCAAAGGAACATCAAAATACGGAGAGTTTACACTCATATACAGCGGAAAAGATTAACAAGAAAGAGCACATTCAAGAATTGGAATTTTGCTGCACGATAAATACACGCAGAGCATCGAATATATCGAATACATCAACGACAGGTTATTAAAAATCTCTATAAAAATGCTTAACATTACTACACACCTGATAAGCACATATGCCCCAGACATATTTAAGCTCACAGCAGAAACTGAAAATTTCAATCAGCAACTACAGAACACCGCAGATAACATAAATGCTAAACACAAAATTATCGTATTCGGGGATCTTAATGCACGGTCGGACACGATGTCATACCAGGTATAAAACAAAAGTACAACGAAGAAATAATTAATAAAAACGGCGAAGCACTAATAGACTTTTGCTCTAGAAATGAAATGAGAATCAACAACACATACTTTCCTCATAAAGACCAACATAAAAACAATAATCTAGGACAGCGGTCAATGGTAGACTTTATAACCACAAATCGAGTGATAATACCATCACAAGTACTTGATGTCAGAGCCCTAACATCTGCTAACTTGAGGACCAATCACAACCTTGTTTTATGCAAGATGCTACTAGAACGTCCGCAACGAAACAGAAAACCCTCAATGCTCATCGAAAAACACAATATAGAGTCGCTAGCAACAGAGAGTACAAAACTTCTTTATAAGAAGAGGATTATTATTAAAAGAGATCGAGTTACAACCAGAATGAGGAGTAGAAGATACTTGGCAAAAAATAAGGAAATGCCTCAACCATGCAGCAGAAGAAGCTATTGGAAAGCGGAAAATTAACACGAGGGCGATAAACCACATCCAAACGTTATTTTGTCAAGAGGTAAAAAAACTCTCTGAATTAAAGCGCACAATCGGGAGAATCTCTCGCAGAATATGTTCAAGTAAAAAACGAAGTAAACGCAAGAATAAAATCAAACAAAAGAGAAGATTGGGCTAAATTCACCAGCCACTTGGACTACGACCTACATGGTGCCCAAAAGAAAAGTATGGAAATGCTTCAGAACAGGAAAAAATCAGTTAACGAGCTCGTGCAGACCAAGGAAGTACCTATAGAGACCTATGGCAACATCATTTTAAAGAGCTATATGATGCCGAAGAAACGCTGAATATAAACGACTACGAAGCAGATATAAGTGCTACAATCAATGACGAAGAGGTGGAAGCAAATATTAAGAAGCTAAAAAACAGAAAATCACCTGGAACATATGGTATATTCAATGAACTCTTAAAATATGGAGGCCCTGAACTTGCAAGTAAACTGTCACAACTATTTAACAAAATCTTAAACGACACAGAAACACCAGAGGAATTGCATAAGAGCAACAAGGAATATCCGAGTCTTTGGAAGGAGTCAAAAGTGTGTCCAATATTCAAAACTGGTGAAAAAGGTCAAGTAGAAAACTACAGACCAATTTCCATTATTTGCAATCTGTCGAAAGTCTTTGAAATAGTTTTGTATAATCGTATTTATTCACGCACTCGTAATCAGCTGTCTCAATTTCAACATGGTTTTGTCTCCAATCGGTCCACTGTGACAAACTTATTAAAGGTCATACAATATATCTCAGCGGCCCTAGATAATAGAAGCCAAGTTGACGTCATATATACTGACTTTACGAAGGCGTTCGACAGAATTCACCACGGCGTATTACTTTCTAAATTGTGTCTCTTTGGCCTTTCTGAGGATGCCGTGACTTTTATGAGGTCTTACTTGTTAAATAGAACGCAGTTTGTTGCTTATAATTCTTACAAATCGGAAAAGTACTTCTTTTAGGGCTTCCACAAGGTTCTAATCTAGGTCCATTATTGTTCTGTTATTTATTAACAATCTGTGTGAATCAATTTCTGCCCCATGTTTATGTTATGCCGATGATTTAAAGATTAATTCATTGATAAGCGACCTTAATGATTGTCATTTTCTGCAGAGTGAACTGAATCGTGTACATGAATGGTGTAATGCAAATCATTTGAACCTTAATGCCAATAAGTGCAAAGTAGTTAGTTATTCTAGGAAACAGTCTAATATATACCATCCTTATATTATCGATGGCAATGAACTTGAACGTTTGAATAAAATTAAAGACTTGGAGTTACATTTGATTATAAACTAACCTTTGTTGAACATGTTAA